ATTACGTTGGTAACTTATTTAATTATTTGTTAATTTTATGACATTTTTACCATCAAAGGCCTGTTTAGTAACCATTTTATTTTCAGTTTTCAATTTATATTTACAAAAATTTTAAAAACTGTCATAAAAACTTGTTTGATAATTTTTTTGGTTTATAAATGGTTGTTTAAGTTTGTAAATTTTAAGAAAAAATATAAATTCAAAAAATGAGTTTACGTTGGTTTTTAAACGAAAATTTAAAAAATTTACTAACAAAATTTTTTTTCAATTAATTTTTTTTCAATGATTTTTTTTTTCCAACTAATACTAACTGAAGGGGCAATTGGTAATGCTACTTTAAACTTTAGAGAGGAGATTGTAATTTCTAAAATGTGAGGGGTGTCAATATAATTTACCCAATGAGGACAAAATTGGTATTTAAAAAAATTAAATTGCTGAGGGAGGAAATCTATAATGAAATTTTAAACCTTATGAGGGAGATGTAATTTCCAAAAGATGAGAGGAGAAACTATAATAAACATAAACTTCAGGGATGTCAGTGTAATTCACCCACTAATATTTTTTCTCATTTTATATTTCTAACCCACCTACAAAACCCACCTAATCCGATTAAACGATTTAAGTGAGTCCAATTAAGAAATAAGAAATAAGAAATAATAAATAATTATCATTTTTAAATAATTTTTATCTTTCGAGTGATTGAAAATAATTTTTAATAAATTAAATTGAAACAGTTATACGTATGTATATAACCTGCTCAAAAGTTAAAATGATAATTATTTTTTATTTTTTTATTTCTTTATTTCTTAACCAAATTAATTTTTAAATTTTAATTTTTTTTTCTAAAAATCAAACCATATATAGCCTAAAATTTTTTTGATAAGTCATTTCTTACGTTGGTAACTTATTTAATTATTTGTTAATTTTACGACATATTTACCATCTGAAATCTGTTTGGTAACCATTTCGTTTTCAGTTTTCAATTTATATTTGCAAAAATTTTAAAAATTGTCATAAAAATTTGTTTGATAATTTTTTTGATTTATAAATGGTTGTCTGAGTTTGTAAATTTGATGAAAAAATATAAATTCAAAAAATGAATTTACGTTGGTTTTTAAACAAAAATTTAAAAATTTTACTAACAAAATATTTTTTCAATTAATTTTTTTTCCAACTAATACTAACCGATAGGGCAATTGACTATGCTACTTTAAACCTTAAGGAGGGGATTGTAATTTCTAAAATGTGAGGGGTGTCAATGTAATTTACCCAATTAGGGCAAAATTGATATTTAAAAAAATTAAATTGCTGATGGAGGGAATTTGTAGTGAAACTTTAAACTTTAGGGAGAGAGATGTAATTTCTAAAAGTTAAGAGGAACTGTAACAAACATAAATCTCATGGGGGGTGTCAGCAATTTTGTGTATGATGAACTTGTCGTTTGAGATTTTTTTTTTAATTATTTTAATTTGAGGTTAAAAAGTTTTGTTTGAGATGAATTTTTTGACTTTTTTAATTTTTATGAGAGAAAAATAATAAAAAGGTAAACTACCAATAGGTTCTAATAATTAGAATTGCTGATGGAGGGAATTTGTAATGAAACTTTAAACTTTAGGGAGAGAGATGTAATTTCTAAAAGTTAAGAGGAACTGTAACAAACATAAATCTCATGGGGGGTGTCAGTAATTTTGTGTATGATGAACTTGTCGTTTGAGATTTTTTTTTTAATTATTTTAATTTGAGGTTAAAAAGTTTTGTTTGAGATGAATTTTTTGACTTTTTTAATTTTTATGAGAGAAAAATAATAAAAAGGTAAACTACCAATAGGTTCTAATAATTAGACCTAATTTTCATCAAGTCCTATTGAAGATAAGTCTTGGTAAAATTGTCGTTAAAAATAATTTTTTTGTAATAATTTTTTATTTATGTCGTTAAAAATTGATAATTAGTGACTTTTTTTGTCATGATTTTTATAAATTATCTTTAAAACTTACAATTCGTGACTTTTTTAATGACAAATTTTTTTCATAGGACCTATTAGACAATAAATCCTCTTATTAGGACCTACACGTAAATACTCCAAAATAAAATAATTATAATTTAAATGTAACATTTTATTTTTTTAATTTTTTAATTTATTTTATCTTTTTGTGTATAAAATATCTAAAAAAACATATGCCAAACATAGGCTAGATGTCAAATTTTCAATTTGATTTGATAAAAAAAATATATGACGGTGAAAAAAAAAATTATGCATTTGTTTAGATAAAAAATTTAAAAAAATAATAAAATTAAAATGTTTTATACAACTAACATTAACTTGTTAGTAAAATTAACAATTTCTTACAAAATATATAAAAAAATTTATTTTTTTCCTACAAATCTTAACAAAATTTATTTTGTTTTCATTTATGTTCATATTTATCGCTACAACTCTATATTATGCAATGATTATATTTTTTTTTGCATCATTTTCTTACAAAAATTTATATCTATTCAAATACATACAAAAAAATAAAATTTATTTCATTTTTCTTTTTTTCACTTTACTTTCTTTCATTTTCATTTTTTATCATTCTTTTTTTTCTAAACAAACGAAACATAAGACTTTAGAAAAAGTGAGTCAGCTGAATCCAACAAAGACTAAAGTAAAAATATAATAAAATAAACGGCTAGGGCTCGACTCCGTTCACCATCTGAACCGAAAGGTTCAGTCCGGTCCATCGGACTCAGTTTTAGATCTCTTTTTAATAATTCAAATTGTTTATATTTTAAAATTTATTTAATATATTATTTCTGTAAAAATCACATTATTCGATCAAATAACAGATACTATATATGCAAATCACTTTTTTATAAACTGTTAATTTTCTAACTGTCTATTTTTTTTTAGACAAAAGTGATTCAAAATCATAATATCCGTTAAATATGATTATTTACAGAAATAATATATTTAACAAATTTTAAAATGTAAACAATTTGAATTATATAAAAGAGACCCAAAAATAGACCAAATTAAACCGAACTGTCCCAAATCTAAACGGAGACAGTCCAAACACAAATAAAAAATTTGACATACCATAATTTCTTTTGGAGTAATCAAATTTGAATGTCAATTTAGCCTTTAAGTTTTCCCCAAAAAAAGTGACATCAATTTTTAAAAAAACCCAAAATAAAAAATTTGACATACCATAATTTCTTTTAGAGTGATCAAATTTGAATGTCAATTTAGCCTTGAAGTTTTCCCCAAAAAAAAATGACATAAAAAAAATGACAAAAATTTGACATACCATAAGGGTAGATACTAATAAACATTAAACCAGTTTTACCATTAAAACCATAATTTCTATAAGAGCCGTGATCCATACACCCACTGGGGGTCGCGCCCCCAGTGACGTGGCGCGCCCCCAGTGGCTGAAAACTTAAAAAAAAAAAAAAAAAAAAAAAAGATTTTTTTTTTTTGTTTTTTTGTTTTTTTTTTTTTTTTTTTTTTTTTTTTTTTTTTTTTTTTTTTTTTTTGGTGTAAAAATGTGGATCAGGGTTGATCTTGATATGAATAAAATGAGTGTATTGTGTTTTTTTTTTTTTATTATTTTATTTTTATTTTATTTATTTCTTTATTTATTTATTTATTTTTTTATCTTTTTTTTTTTATTTAAAAAAATAAATAAATAAATAAAGAAAGTGGAGCAATAGGAGTGGACAGCTGGCCCATTACTTTGGTGAAAACCAAAAAAGCAGAAGATGGTTGGGTGATATAGTTTTAATATTTCAGTGAGTGGGATGCATGATGGGTTATATGAAAAGATGGGATTTGAGAAAATGCTCTGGTAATGTGTGTGATCCCATTGTCATAAATAATAAAAATAATATAAATATTTTAAGCCTGAACAAACATATTTTTTAGTTTATGTTTTTAAAATTTTTTAAACATTTTATTCAAACCAAACACGTTTATAATTTATATTTTTTTTAAAATAAATAAAAATCAATTTATAAAATTTTTATAAATATAAATAAAAAACGTAAACATTACCGAACTCTATCATAATATTTTAAATTTATGTAATTATTGATTGAAGAAATTCTGAGCCAAGAAAAAAAAAATTCAAACTACAGCTTCGGCCTATTTGTACATGTGGGTAAAATGTCAACTTCTCGATTTATTTATTTATTTATTAATTACATCACTTCTTTATTTTTCACACATTTTTTTAAAAAATCAAAAAAAAAATTAAAAATTAACTTTTAATTTACATCCAAAATAACCCTTCCTATGTTTAGGTGAAAAATATAAATAACATTTGATTTACTTTTCAAAACTCAATTATATTTTTAAATCATAATTTAGATCAAAACTCATAAATAAATAAAATTTTAAAATACAAATTAAAATTATTTTCAAAATCAAAACTCCTCTTACTTCTTACTCTTCTTCTTCTATTATTATTATTATTATTATTATTATTATTATTCAATCTAGGAGTTCAAAAAAAAAAATCAATCAATCAATCAATCACTTTTTCTCTCTAATCTCCCCTCTTACATTCTCTCACATCAATTAATTAAAAAAAATCATCTCAAAACTATTTTCAAAACTTTAAAAACTTGATAAAAAGTCAATTTTTTAACTTTTTAATTTTTTTACACAAAAAACAAACTTTTTTAGCCAAAAAATAACAAAAAGTTAAAAAAGTCAAAAAATCAATTTTTTATCAACTTTTTAAAACAACACTCATAATCAAACAAATTTTCTCTTTTTCAAATTGTAATTCAAAAACTTAAAATTCAAAACATAATTCTACATCCAACTAGGCCAAACAGACCCATATATATATTTTTGAAATTTGGTACAATAAAAAAAAAATGATCAATATTTTTCATAATCAACGCAACAAATATAATTAAGTAAAAAAATATATTTTTACTTTTAAAAGACAGAAAATATTTAAATTCTTACAAATATTGTTACATTTGAGTGTTTTGAAAAGTTGACAAAAAAATTAATTTTAAATTTTTTTGACTTTTTTGTAATTTTTTTTGTGAGAACTTGGTGAAAAGTCTAAAAATTAATTTTTTATCAAATTCCCAAATTGCTCCATTGCCACCGCAACTCTCACCTCCGCCATCGTACTATCATCTCCACAGCCACTACCATCATCACTGCCTTCGCTCTCATTGCCACCACTCCCATAACCAAAAATATAAAATGATTTTTCTAAAAAATATATTTTTATAAAAAAAATTCATAAGAAATATTTTCTGTTTTTCTGTCTAAACAAACGGTATCCGATTCATATAGGTTTGCAAGGCTCTCTTTGATTAAATTAGCATACCAAAATTCAAAATTCTCGGGTATGTATAAAATTCTCTCTAAAAATATTTTGTGATTAGAATTAGTGATTCATATATGTACCTGTCGATCCTTGCCAAAACGTTTTCAGATGACATGATCACAACTGGTATTTCTCTGAAAGAAGACGATCCCTGCACATGATGAGAAAATGAAAAAACCAATGAGCAAACCATTTTCAATATCTATTTTCATTGCAAATTTTTCATGCTTTTTTCAAAAATTGTGAAACATATTGAGATTGAGCTAACCTTAATTCTTTTAAGCAAATCGTAACCAGTCATCCCAGGCATACAATAGTCTGTGATTATCAGATCCACCTTCAAATCAAAATCAACTGAGCTCTTATCCTCATCTAATCCTAAAAATTGCAGAGCTCTCCTTCCACTATCCACTGCTGTTACTGTAACAATTCAATTCAACAACACTTCATTCACATATACATACATATGTATATATATATATAGAGAGAGAGAGAGAGAATTGATTTGTATTGAATTGTACCTTTGCAGGAGGTGATTTTGAGCAATCGTTCAATGACTTTTCGATCGACGAGGCTATCATCAACGGCAAGAACATGAACTTCATGAGAATCGGAAGGCGATACATCGTCGAAGCTTTCTCCGATCATGTCCGACGATCTCTTCCGCCGCGAAACAGCACCGGTTCTGATCATCTCTCCGATCCGAATCTCTTAACCTTTACCAAAAAAATTGATTGCAAATTGATCAAAAATCTGACTACTCCGTGATTATATATGCAGAAGCTGTCTGTATGCTAAATGCATGTTGTCTCTTTCAAACAGGTCTCTTTCTCTCTCTCTATATAACAATTACAAAAAGCTCTCTCTCTCTCTTTCTCTCAGAAATGTGAAGAATCTTATGATATTATTTTATAATCTTTTTAAGGATTCTCAAATCAATTTTGGTGTGATCTCCATTACTCCATATCCACCACCCCCCCTGATGTACGTGCTTTGACTTGTTGGAAACTTTCGCTATATCGCTCCTCTACTCTTTCTACTAAAAAGAAAGTGCCAGGCTTGTCTACAATACATTTTGTTGATTGTCCGGTATTGTTAGATTTATAGCATATATCACGTATTTTATTTTAATAATTTAAATTGTTTAATATGTTAAGTTTATTGAGTAATTTATTCTTGTAAAAAATTAATTTGATTAGATATCGATAGTTATTTAATTGGATTAGAATTTTGTTAATAATTTATTTTAAAAATTATATTACTATCGAGAGAAATCTGACATGATTAAATAATTATCAATATTCAATTAATGTAATCTTTTTATAAAAATAAAATATTAGACGAATTTTGTATATAAAATAATTTAAATTATTGAAACAGGACCGTGATGAACAATCACAAATTCAATAATATGTTTTAATCCAATCTCAAACTAAAAGGAACCCTCACTCAAAAAAAAAAGATACGAATTGTGAGATATTGGTACGGTGGTAAAAACAAATCATACTATGGTAATTTTTTAAATGCAATGTTAAGTACCAATAATATATCATTCGGATACGTGTATTATAAAAATTAAATTATTAAAATTGATGTATAAATTTATTTTTTTATATTTATTTTTTAAATTTAATGATATATAAGTAAAATGATTGATAGATAATTAAAAAAGATATGAGAGAGAATTATCTAAGTAGTTGTTTAAGATATTATAAATAAGTGTATTTTTTGACTTTTTATGAAATATAACTTGGGTTTAAAGTGATGCAGTAGAGAAGTGATATGACTTAAATAACATGATGCGAAGGATAGCGACTTTTGACTTTTTGACTTTTTTAGGAGATACTAAACCTAACCGTAGATATTTTAATAGATTGTTATATCATTAGGTTTGAAAGATAGATCTAAAATATAAATGAAATAATTATTTGATTATTAGATAATATTTTAATAAATTATCAATATAAGGTTAATTTAACTTTTGAAATAGAGTATAACTACAATTAAATTATTAAAATTTGAATTATGATCATTTTAATTAACACTCATTTAATATGGTTTCGGAAAATTTAAAGTCAAAGTTTAAATAAATTTTAAATGGCGTTAAGTTTTATAATTAAATTATAATTTTGTGGGGGTAATTTTCTAACTACACTGCCCGCCTAGTAATCAGTTGGAGAGCACCGGCAGAATAGATGGCTTCAAGGAACCTGCAACAGAAAGAAAAGGCTCCGGCGGTGGCTCCTCCACCCGGGGGTACTCCGACGATCAAGTCAGTATATCTCTCAAAGATAATCAAGTGCTAAACTCACAAGCTTGAGTATAAAACTGCGTACCTTAGACCCACGGGGGTGCCTCTCTTTTATAGTTTACTAAATCCAAGTCCCACTTGAAGTCTGACTTCTATGGATTCCAATTCAATGTTAACTTTGGACTCTTCAAGAGATAAAGATAAACTCCCTAAGAGCTTTATCTTTATCTTAGCAAAGTCTTCTCTTTACTTTAGGACTCTTGTCCCCTATCCGCTTATCTCTGATTCCGATATCTTCGGAGATCACCTCGGCCTTGCCTAGGTAACCTCGGCATAACTACCAAGGCACGTGGCACCTCAGCTGACACGTCGGCATCACCATGCCACGTGTTGGTATTCAAAAAATACATCCCCGCAACTGCCCCCTAGGTTTTATTACCTCGGCATTTTGAGGTGATGGAACCTATATCGATATCTCTTTCTGTACACTGGCTAACAAACTCTTCAGCCGAGATCATTTATTTCAAGCCGACATGTTCTCTTCGGAGAACAAGAATTCCAGTGATCTTTTTCATATGTGTGAGCTGTCACGCATCATTTACTCAACCGTTTCTCTTACGCGTCTTTACCTTATTGGTCCGTGTTTGTGACGCGCTTATAAACCACGTTTTTTCTGCGCACGCCGCCTGACGTATGCGTTGCTCCAGGCGCATTAATTACCTTTTTGCCGCCGTTTTTGGTTTTTGACAAAAATTTTCCCCCTTTCTCTCGCCTCTTCACTTTGCGCTTTGGTTTTGCTTTTTGCCGCCGTTTCAAGTTTTTTACAAAACTTTGCCCCCTTTCTTTTTCGTCTCTTTACTTTTGTTTTCGATTTACTGGCTCTCTTTCTCTCTAAACTTTCTCAAACCCGCCATTGCTCTAGCTCCAAGCTCTGCAATTGCCTTCATTCTTCCATTCCAGCGAAGCTTTCGTCACTTCGTCTTGTCTGCAACCGTCGCCTGACCTCGGCGACATTCATTCCGGCTTCATTTGTTCTGGTAAGCCTCTGTTCCTCTTATTCCCAATTTCTTTTATGTGCTTTCGTTTACTTACTGCCATTATTGCGCTGTTCAAACCTTTAATTTGCTGAACTATTCATCTGAATGCGTTTTTTCCATGATTTTACTCATATCTTGAACACTTGCACTGTTTTAATACTTTTCTTGTCACTGTCTTTCTTTTCGCTTTTGAGAACCATACTTCTGTTCTTCGTTTCTGAAACGTCATTCTTTGTTTCTTGTTTTCTGTTTGTCCTTTCCAGATTTGTGCCTTTGATCTTCATCTTCATAGTTCTTAGGCTTGGGATTTGTTTGTAGAACCTTTAATTTAGGAAAAACTGAAACAATCCTTACCAGCATATACCTAGGGTTTCGCCGAGGTCCGGATAACCCCTTAAGAACACTTTTCTTTCTGAAATCTAGCACTCTATTTTTAGGCCGACGTTATGGGTATGTGGAGACATAGGGTAGATACCCCAACCAAACTCGAGTATTTTAGGCGGGAGTTCTCTATTCCTGCCGATGTCCATCTGAGGCTAGCTGAAGATAGTGACTCTATCATGCCCACAGATGATTCAATGCCCTTCCCTATAGTAGCTTTTACTGAGTGTGGACTCCGGCTCCCACTTAACATTCTTTTTCGCGAAATTCTTCATTTTTACAAGTTGAACCCTATGCAACTTGCCATAAACCCTTATCGAGTGATCAATGGTATCATAGCCCTAGCTAGGCAGGAGAATGTTAGGATCACCCTGGCCGATGTACAATATTGTTATACCATGTGCCCTCTTAACCTGAAGGAAAGAGGTTACGTCTACTACCTTAAGTCGAGGTCTACTGAATTCAAAATTGTAGCCGACATCCCGGACTCCAACAAGGGAGCCGGGGATGACTTTGTCATTGCTTCGGGAAATTGGGAATTTGGTCCAGACGAAGACGTTCACCTCTACCCTCTTCCTCGAACAGTTAAAGAGGGCAAGGGTAAGAGCCCAGCATCAATACTTAGTTATTTCTTTTCCAAGTCTTCAAAACTTTGTCTGTTTCTAATGTCTGTTTGTTTGTCCTGCAGATCTTCATCAGCTACCAAAAAACTTCCGCCAATCCTTCTTCCCAGGAAAAGATTTAAAGAAGCTCCTAGATCTTCCACTCCACAAGCGCAAGGCTCCCCTATTGCTGAATTTTATTCCGACATACAAATCCACATTGCCCGACGTCCCAAAAAGAAAGAAGAAGAGCCTATCTCCTCCATCTGCTACCACTCTGCAAACAGTATCAACATCTCGGGCTGACCAAGGGTCAACCTCTGATCCAGCCGACCAACCATCAACTTCAGCCCCATACTTAATCCCAATACCAGAAAGAAAACGTCGGTGAAGACTCGTCAAAACTGCTGAGATGGGTCACCCGAAGCCTGCTGCCCAAGATTTCTTGCCGACCTTCCCACCGATGTTGATGCTCAACCGACGCAAACCATGCCTCCACCAAAGCCGAAGAGAATTAAAAAGGCTCAGCCCAAGGCCAAAGCCGCTGAGATTGAGGCTGAGGATGCTCTGCCCATCTCTCAATTGGCTGAGAGTAAAAAGACTGCTTCCACCTCCGCAAAAAGGTCTGCTGAGGCCCAGCCATCAGAATCCACCCAATCAAAGAAGCCGAGGTCATCGTCTGCGACGACCTCAAGTTCTAGAGTACCAAAAGTCCCTTGGAGACCAGAGATTACTCTGGAAGATAAGCCAATCCTAGCCAGCGACAGTGCTGATGACGTAAACGTCGGCGTGGCCCTAAGTACTGCTCTACTCCTCCCAGGAGATCTTGAGCGAAATGCCAACATGAGTGAGTATGAGAACTACGCCTTCATGCTGCAACACTCTGTCCAAGTAAGTGCCTTTGTGTTGAAATCTGTTTTTTTTCTTAATTTGTAGAATTTTTGTAACAATTTGTGCCTTGTGTTCTTTCAGGCCATCCAACATGCCCACTCCCTCTCCATGCAAGCTTTTGAAACAAGGGAGAGGTTGGCCGACATGAAGAGGGAGGTTTCTGCTCTTAAAAAGGAGAGCAGAACTCTTCAGCTAAAAATGAAAAAACTGGAAGACCAGGCTGAGGCTGCCACCAAAGCCCAAACCCTACCCGAAGAAAAGGCCGAGTCTGCTGAGGTAATAAAAAAAGTTGCCGAGGCCGAGAAGAGAGAGGCCGAGGTCAAAAAGGCCCAGGCTGAGAAAGAGCTTCAAAAGGCTCTGGCCACCAAAGAAGCCGAGATTAAAGAAGCTGATGAGAAGGCTTACTCCCAGGGAATGGCCGACGTCCTGAGGAGTACAAACTGCAAGTCAGGCAGGCATGCAACAGGGGCTTCTCCCTTGGTTGGATGGCCCTTGCTAAAAAACTAAACATTCCTGATGACTCGCCGCTGCGCAAAGCCGACGCTATTCCTCTGCCGTTCCCCCCTCCTCCTCCATCAAGTCAACCTGAAGGAGAATCTGAATCTGAGTCTGAAGATGCCGATGAGGAAAATGATGAGGCCCTGGTCAGAAGATCAAAGGATGCTGATGGGGCTAAGTCCCCTCCTCAGAATGAGCAAGTCCTTGATTTGACTCAAGATGAAGAAGGTGATGAGGTTATCCCTGAAGTTGCTCCTGAAACTATTCCAGCTGACATCCCTTCCGAGGTTAAGACTGTTGAGCAAACTCTTCAGGAAATTGACGCCGAAATAGCGGCAGAGAAGGAGGCCGAGGTTGTACCTGATCTCCAAATCCA